GACCAACAGCAGCCGTTCGATGCACGGGATTTTGCTGTAGCGTTTGCCGACCCGCAGTGCCTTATTGTGCAGTACACAGGTGTTTTCGGTCACTTGCTCATCATAGTAGCACATGCTCCACATTCTGGCCACCCTGACAGTGTGCGAGCGCAATGGTGGGGAAAATTGGGAGAGCAAATCGACAAGCACCAGCAGGACGCAATCCCTATCATCCTGATGGATGCAAACGCGGTTTGGGCAGGACCGCCAACAGCCAGTCTGGGAGACTTAGTGGAAACTCGCCCTAATGCCAATACACCATACTTCCAAGGATTCGTAGAAAAGCATAGGCTCTTTGCACCGGCCACTTTCACGGAAGCACAATGGGGTCCTTGGTTTACGTGGGTCCACGCTGGCTCCGGGAAAGAACATCGCTTAGACTACGTCTTGCTTGACGTCCTTTGGAGTAAAGCATGGATAGAAGCATGGACCGACCCTGAGCTTTCCACCGGACACCTAGGGTGGGATCACATAGCCACGGTAGTGGATGTGTATTGGGAACAGGGGTACCAAACACAGCAAAAGAAGATCCGACTAGATGCCATGGCTATGATGGATCCGTCTAACAAGGCAAAGATCTTTGATATACTTGACCGATGTCCTCAGCCTGCCTGGTCCACGAACGCAAGTGATCATGCAGTCCAGCTCACGCAATATTTCCAACAAGAGTTAGGTAAGCATTTTCCAGCACCAAGACGTAAAACGCCAGAATTCACACAAAATGATACTCGAGAAGTATACTCTCTATTGGTTGCCAACAAGCGTGCTTTGAGGCAATTTCGACTGATAGAGAGATACCAGGTCCTGTCCCTAGCGTTTTCCACTTGGGCCAGGAAATTCGCATACTGTGGCTCGCATACTTGGACAATAGCTTTCAATCAGAAGTATGCTCAACTAGCTGCACAAACAGCGAAGCTTGCAAGCAAGCTCAAAGTATGCCTTCGGCAGGATAGGAATCATTTCCTTTCTAAGGTAGCACAGGAAGTGAGCGAATGCCCACCTGCTGAAGTGTATCGCAAGCTCAGACCTGTTCTTCGACCAACTAAGAAGCAGACAACAGTCTTACGGCCGCTACCAAAACTGCTAGACACAGAAGGACAACCCATCCTGAGCAGAGCAGCGCAAAACCAACGCTGGACAAGTCATTTCGCTTCTATTGAGGCTGGAAGGACCATCCAGGTCGGTCAGTTTGTGCATGAACACTTGCAGCGACAGATGGACAGATGTAAGCCAACGAGTTATGATCCGGAAGATATCCCGTCCTTGTTTGTCGTAGAAAGCGCAATCAGAGCTGCCACAGCAGGCAAAGCGACCGGACCCGACGGTCTTCCGGTAGAGCTCTTCAAGGCCATCCCAGGGAAAGCGTCTAAAATCCTTTACCCGTTAGCCTTGAAAGTGGCTCTGAGAATAGAAGAGCCCCTCACGTGGAAGGGTGGACACCTTTTCGCGCTCTATAAAGGGAAAGGGTCAACAGCAGAGTGCTCAAGTCATCGAGGAATTTTGCTAATGAATGTCATGGGGAAGATCACCCGAGCAAGCTTGCGTAAGTGGATAAATGAGCCATATCTAGTGGCCGGTCATTCCATGCAGCTCGGAGGGAAACCCCACCAACAAGCACAGTTTGGGGCACAACTCACAAGGTCCTTCCTAAGATGGTGCAAAAGCAATAATAAGAGTGCAGCTGTGCTATTCGTTGACATTGCTTCTGCCTTTTACAAAGCTTTGAGAGAAATAGCAACAGGGGCTGATACATCTGACCAAGACATTGCCCAAATAGTCAAACGTTTAGGGCTTGGTCCGGAAGTCATGCCAGCGCTATCTGAAGCATTGCAAGGTAGAACAGCATACGCTGCCCTTACAGAATCAGTACCCAGACAGCAAGTCCTCCAAGAAAGCCTGCAAGCTACTTGGTTTTCTGTTGACGGCGAAGCAGTTGTAGGAACAGAGCAAGGTACCCGTCCAGGGGATAGCTGGGCAGACGTGGTATTCAATGTACTTCTATCGCAGGTTCTGCAGAAAGTTCAAGGAACACTAGAGAAAAGCTCACTCGTGACCTTAGTGGCCAAATACGACCGAACCATCTGCCCCAACAAGCTTGTAGGCGGAGAGCCAATGCCCCTCCTTCAAGTTACATGGGCTGACGATATCGCTCTCATGATTACCATGGACAAGCCACAAATGATTTGGAGTACTCTTCCCCGTGTGATGCAAGTACTGGTCGACGAACTCCATGCCATTGGAATGGAAATTTCCTGTGGCCCGACCAAAACGGCGGCGTTAGTGTTACTACGAGGGCCCGGCTCTGTGCAGACAAGAAGGCGAATGTTTCAGAACCCACAATCTGAACTTCCAGTTCTCACAGAGAAGGAGGGACTCAAACTACCACTAGTGCCACAGTACAAGCATTTAGGAGGAATTTTAACATTCAAAGGCACATTAGCGGCCGAGATTTCCATGCGCTTTGCTAAAGCTAGACAAGCCTATTGGAGGTCTGCGAAAGCAATATTTCGACAAAGACATGTTGCCGATAAGGTCAAAGCACAGCTGTTCCAAGCTCTAGTGATGACGGTCTACATCTGGGGAATTGGAGCCTGGCCAGCCATGTCGAAGGCCGATATGAAACACTTCCAGACTTCGTACTGGAATCTGCAACGTCTCCGGGCACCCAGACAAGACGGCAAAATTTCCAATGAGACGCTATGCCGAACTTTCGATTGCCCGTGTCCAGTCGACCTCCTCCAAGCAGCTAGAGCAAGGCATTACGTCACCATGCTCTTACATGCGCCGGACCCAGTATGGACAGCAGCGCACCTTGACCAGCCGACTGCTGAGATGTATCGGAATGCAATTGAATGGGTATACAATGCCCTTCAGAGGGAGAGAGGCTTCTGTAATACGACACCAAGCCAAGCCTGCCAATTGCTCTGTGCCCTTTCACCGAAGCGGTGGAAGTCGACAGTTCGTCGAGCTGCAGAACGATGGAGACTCTACCGCCTAAGAGAGCAACAAGTGATTAGATCACATCAACAAGTGTTGAACGCCCTCACTCGGTGTTCATTATGCACTCAAGGCACGCTGGCTCATGAATGGAAACATTTCTGCCTGCTATGCAAGAAAGGATTCGATCGGAAAAATGCCTGGTTTCTTCATGCCAATGTTGTACACGCTTACAAAACCATGGAAGGAGAGGCCATAACGGGGACAACTTGTTGGTGTTGCGCCAAACAATATCCAACGTCAGCGTCCCTCAAGAACCATCTTCGATACAGTCGAGCGTGCTGCACCTACTTTTGGAAGAATCATGAACACCTCCAAGAACAGGCAGGAGCAGCCACTAAACATCCACAGTTTCCATGGACTCGAGTTCGAAGTACCGAACAGGTACCTCCAGCCCCGATCCAGCGTGATGAAGCACTCTTCCGAAGTGATTTGCAGGAAGCGCTCCGAGACTTCGCACCTCCTGAGGAGGAGTCAAGATTCGTTGCAGCGCTCACAGACACGCTGACGATGGTTGCTTATCGGGTCATGCCAATCGATGACATTCTGAATGTACTCCGGATCTGGGCGCTCGACTTCGTTGAAGTAGAACAGAGCACAATCCGTGAAGCCATTGAACAAACTATTCAAGCAGTCTCATGTATGCGACTGAAGGACAACATAGACAATACCCTGTCGGAGTCTCTGGAACGGGAAGATGACAGAGCTAAAATACACGTCATGCGGGCAAGTCCTCAAGTGCCAAGCACCTTCCCAGAGATGTATGTCCTTCACTTTTTCAGTGGCCGGAGGCGTACTAACGACCTCCAGCAAGCACTGGAGCACCTCACTATCCCCAATGCTGCTGTGCTGTTCGTGATCTCACTCGATGTCATGGTGTCTGCCGATCATGGCAATTTAACAGATGTAGGGCAGCAAACAGCTATTTTGAAGCTAATCCGACTGGGGATGATAGCAGCAATTTATGCCGGGCCACCGTGCGAGACTTGGACAATTGCAAGATTCCAGCCGGTCGAGGGATGCAAACATCCCCCGCGTCCGTTACGGTCCAAGAAAGAACCATGGGGTTTCGTACATGTCAGCCTGAAAGAAGGGAAGCAGCTAGCGGTAGGAAACCAGCTCATGTGTTTCGCCCTGCATTCAATGCTAGAATTGGCGCTTGTTGGAGGACTCGCAGTTCTTGAGCACCCGTGCAATCCGCACGACCTCCATACCAAGCATCAACAAGCTCCGAGCATCTGGGAGACGGTGATTGTCGACTGGCTGAGGAAGACGGGCCTTTTTCACAGTCTCACTCTTTTCCAAGGAAACTTCGGAGCTAAAAGCCCTAAGCCTACCACCTTTTTCATCGCAGGCTTGTCGCACGAGACGACAGCAGCGCTTGAGAGGCGGAGTAGGACCACTGTTTGCCCCACTTCAACAACTATCGGTCTTTGCGGGAAGGAATGGGCTACTAGTTCTTTGAAGGAATACCCGCCGGATCTGTGCAACTTTCTTGCCCAGTTGTATGAGAGTTGGTTGAAAGGGGCAATCATGAAGTCTGGACCACCTCCTGAAAATGCAGATTGGCTAAAAGCCATGCACATTACGGAGGTTGGCGATGTACAGAAAGAAGGTCCAGACTTTCACCCGTCATTAATTAAGAATTTGTCTAGCTAGGTGCTGAGTTCCCGAACACCGTGCGCGCACAGAAAGAAAGAAAGAAAAAGGGTGATTCTTGCGTCTTGAGCGATTTGAATGACAACGATGACAACATCAACTTGAGAACTGCCAGCACCATCACCATGGGAACAGTCCAAAGGTCATCCATTGCCATAATCATCCAAACTCAGCGGCAAGTGTGTATATATGTGTGCCTGACAGGTGCCACCTCAAAACTGTTCCAGCCCCTTTCTGCTGTCCAAGCAGAAACCGTGCGTCGCTTCACGCGCGCGAAACTCGCTATAAAATGCGTCGCCAGCTGCTCCACCGAGCTGGGCAAGGAGGGTGACTTCTTTCGGACCAAAGCCTAGGGCACTGCAACGAAACCAGGAAGATCGAAGAACGCTAACGCGACTAGAGTTTTGGGGGGGGGCAGGGAGGGCCTTTTTTTAAGCAATAGGTGGCAGGGATTATTGACCAAGCAACCTTGTAGCCTCTATAACTAATTCCTTTAAAGATCCTTGTGTTCGCCTCTTCTTGTGACCACCAGCTTGGCATTTACATCCACCAACCACAAACCTGGGGACCATGGTGACTTCGGCTGTCACTTCCACCTCACTCGGTGAGGTTCCACCAACATGCCCTAGGGCTCCAAATATCCTCATAAGGTTTGCAAAAACCTCAAAAATCCAGCCTAGCACCTTCGAAAAGGAGGTAGGCCAGGAGCCCTATAGGGATGAAATAGTCCAAGAGTCGGGGACACCGTTGTGCTTTGATGATCCACACCCGGCCCGCTCATCCCCTGTTCATGCAGGGGGCCCGTGGCACCCATGGCCTGAAGAAAACCATGGAAAACCAGCCAAGGTTCCACCACGTGCTTCCCTTGGGCCAGCAGCTCGCGAATCAGCTCCCCACCCAACAATCCAGTGCCGCCAGTCACCAGGAAACCTCGAGATTCGAGGCTCGGAGACTCGGTGCATTGGCTTTCTAATCACCCGGGCCAAGGGTCTATCCCATTGCCGGGTAACAGTGGATGATGATGGTTGGTAAAGACCTTTCTCTAGAATAGTGATAATTGCTTCCTGACTGTTACAGGTAATAAGAGGACAAACCCAACACCTGGTGAATGAAACTTCCATCAGCTGCCCACTATTGTGGGATATTCTTGACTGATAGAAGTAGTTTCCTTCAATGACATTCGCTGTGGGTCTAGTCAAAAGGAGCACCCATCATATATCATATCATCATAATTATATCTATACAGTATAATGCTCTACTACAAGTATATGATATATATTATGATGTCCCCTTACTAATTCCATGATCCCCACCAAAGAGGCTATCGGCCGGCCATCGACTCTGAGCATTTGCGCTGCTCGTTCTCTCACGCGAAGTCTGGGGATCCACCCATCCAACTGGTCGCTCCAGTCCAGTCGACTGGAACCAGTCGACGGTCGCTCCGCTGAAACGGAGCGAGGCGTCTGGCGCGGCTGGGGCTCCCGAGGTGACCGGTTGGCCCGTTTTCTGACGACTGGACTGCTCATGGCAACAACAGCTACTGGACAAAAAGCTGCCCCAGTAGCAGATCCTAGCAAAGGCAAAGTTCAGTCCGACCCAGTCAAACCTGGGACCGACTGGACCACACTTTGGTCCGTTTTGTGGAGGGTAGCTCTGCACACGTACGGTTTAGCCCCAAAACCACCAAGAGCCATCGCCTACAAGCTAGATCCCGCCAACAAGATCATCAAAATACTGTATCATAAAATATCAATGAATCAAGGGAAAATCCCAGCGGCGATCTTGAACCACAACAATCTCATGGTCAAAGCGGAAGTTACCCCCATCAAGACTCTTGGCTCAAGCCTCAAGATATATATACTGTAAGGATTGGCCATACACAGTCTTTGGGGATTTGAGCTAAGAGTTCTGAAGGGTGTGTAGTATGGGCCATGTGAGCCTTCGCCATTCCCTCCATTCCCGTCCATCGGGCAGCGCTGCAAACTGGAAGAGTGCGGGACGCTTGAGCCCTGTGCCACAGGCTGGGCGGCCAAATCTGCCTCGCAAAGAAGAGCATGCTTGGGGATCTGCTGCAAACATCAACATGGTCAACCTCCCCAAAAGAACCCTTCTCAGAAAGGGATACCAAAGCACCAACCTCCATTGGACCCTGACAGAACATTTGATGAAAAAGACCTACTCAGAGGCGTCGACCTCTTCATTGCCTCCGACTTTCATGGATGTTCAATGGTGTCTGGGAGAACTTGGATGAACAATGAACAAACCGCGCAAAATCAGAATATGGTCGGTCAATCAGTTTGGTGCCTCACCCGTGCATTTTGGCCAGTCAACATGCAATGTCCACCACTGGTTGGTTGTTTCAACTCATAGTATGGGTTTAATAAATCATCCCAAGTAAAGAATGCGGTAATGAAACCCACCAGCCAACTTTCTGGCCATGGTTTCCCAACATGCTCAGACGCGATGCCCGGTCCAATCGAACGTTCGAAGTCTCAAAGTTCAACATCGAAGCCCTATATTGGGCCCTATTGGTGTCGACTTCCATTTGAAACCATCCTGCAAATCATTTAAATGAACAACACCTGCTACACAAAAATCATGTCAAAGCTTGCTCTGCGTCGCTTGTTTCTGGCCTCCCAGAGTTCCTGCGACACCAGCGGCAGCTGGACGCCACGCCGCAAGGCTTCTGCACGGCGACGCACCTGGAAAGCGGAATGTTTTGAGTGATTCTAGTGCGGGGTGGGGAGTTGCAAGTTTATTGACTATTCCAAGATTCTGGGATATTGCCTACAAAATCTCAAAAGAGGACAAACTGTAGAACACGCCCTGGTTCACTTTCCTTCTTTACAACAACGTATGCATACAAGTCCTTCGCCAACGCTTGGCGAAAAAGACCAAGGACTTGTTCGGTGGGCGGCCTAACCAAACTAGGGTACGTGCATTTATTCGTCATTGGCGGGTGCATAAAAATATCTGGAGACCTCCCAGTGAGACCCTGGAACATACACCAAAAACCCCTACACCCAGATTGTGGACATTGCGCACTCTAGGACTCTAGGTGCAACTGGACCTCCCTGGTGCCTACATCAAAGCTTACCAAAGGGTGGTAGTAGATCTATACCAGGGCGTGGTGCATGGGCCCCAAACAGGACCCCCCCCACGTTTGTCAATGACCCTTTTTTAGAGTTGCAACATCCTGCAACTCCAAGACCGGGAAGCCCCACATGGATTGACTGGGATAACCCCTCTGCACCGTTCCCTTCGATCCCGCGTTCCGCCCGTGCGTTCCGGGCACCAAGGCCAAAGAGTCGGAGGACGTCCCGGTCGACCTCTCACCATAGCGCTCCTCGGCGACGGGCGGCGGCGCCGGTCGCCGACTGGGACCGCTTCGGGGCCAAGCTAGGCCTCCAATGAGCAGCCTCCCAGGCTCCCTGTTCAGAGCGATGGCCTCCCCCCTACTAAGTGCACCACTGCTAAGTGCTTCAAACATATATATATATATATATACATGTTATAGATGTGTTTGTGTGTGTGTTCTATTCTTCGGGGGTCATGCACCGTTTACTGCAAGTGCTTTAGAGGGTCCAGGCCCTGACGGCATACGGTACACCAAAACTTATGCATATAAGGGTCCAAGCAGCAACCATCCTTCTCAGCTCAAGTTCATGAATAGTCTAAACAGGGCACACATGCATTTACAAATTTGTCTGAAAGGCAAGTGCAACCCATGGTTGGGGTTTCCACCAGCCCACCTCTTGAGAAGAGTGCCATAATATCTTGGTCAAAGAAAGGTGCTTCGAGTGAACACCCAACTGCGCCAGTCATTTGGGCGACAGTCAACCGAATCCAACGGTCCAAACTCGAAGAAACCATTTGAAAGGGTCTGCTTAACGGGTGCAACGAAAACCAACCCACGCGTCTACGGCGCGTCTACGGCCCGTCTACGTCGCTGCCTGTACGAGTCCGAAGAGGGCTGAAGCATGCTGAAGCTGCACACTGCTGTCTTTCTGTGCTGGTTGGCACCAGGATCATATATATATATATATGTTCTATGTTGACCTGTTGCAAATATGTGGAATGCCGGACCGGGAGAAGAAGGACCGTCGTATTCGCACAGAACCCGGCAAAACACCATCCTGGCAGCTCATGCTCGGCAACACGCACCTCCCGACTCCCAACAGTTCAAGAAACCCCAATGTCGCAACTACTCCCAAATGAGAGGAAACGCTAGGGAAAACCTACAAGATGTAGCAGGACAACCCCCGTATGGATGAACCAATGATTGGGAAAAAAAACATGTTCCGGCTCATCGGAAATCGTCCGATGGGGCTCATGCGTACCTTCCACCATGCCTTCTATGATGGCTTCCATACTTTCCACCATCTTCTACCCAAGAGAGGTTGAACAGCCCTTTGTCGCCCATCCCATATGTACCACAGACCAGGGTCCGACCCGTTCTGGTCTCTCAACCTCTCTTGGACCCAAAGCAATTCCACACACACCTCTTCACAGGAACTTCCCAGTGGCCATGAGAACTCGCCGGTTCAGCTTCCTGGCGCTCGGCGACGACGCGCAAGAAGCAGCAGGTGAAGTCGATCGACCTGCACGGCCCTTATTTACCTTACGTCGGCTCCAAACAACCCCTAGTCAGATCACAAGTCATCCAACATACGGATACAATCAAGCCCGCCTAGCCCGCCGTATATAGAAGAGGTACAAATTACTCCAAAGATCCGGGGGGGTGGTTGATTCATGTTGATTCATCCACAATTCACCAGTAGCGTGTTCTGGACCTCGGACTTGAAACATGTAGCTTGAGGTGACCAGGTCGATTCCAGAACCCCTCAGGTTCCTCAGGTTTTTCCGGTGTCGGGTTGCCTGCAGGTGCATGTCGGGTCCAGGAACGTCCGGTTTCTACAACTCCGCGCCGCCCCTTCGGCCATCCCCTGCAAGGCACTGGTTCTCCAGGAGCCCACCGTTGGCCACTGTCCAGGGTGTTGTTTCCAAGAAAATGTCACTGACCTCGGCTGCCAAGGCTTTAGGTTCAATTCAATGACACACCTGTGACTCCTCTGCTTCCAACTTTAAGATGCTGGTGGCATATCTTCATACCAAGCAGTGCTGTGGGCCAAGTTGTTCAAGTTTTGAAGGGTTTGCATCGACTGTGGGCATGTATGCAACATCTTGCATACCCTGAGATGCCCTCCCAAGAGCGGCCAGACTTGGTTCTACAAACCATTTCTGAAACAACACTAAAACATACTAAACCACAACTTGTCTAGCCTGGGCATGTTGACTTCCCAGTACTAAGATACAAACCACCTCGTGCTTCGCCAGCCCCTTCTGGCTGGCAGCCTCCTGCATGAGTGACCTTGAGGCCGGAGGAATTGGGTTAAAGCGGGTGTGGTGAAAAAGGTCAAACTGATGCTGAGATATGCTAGGTAGGGCATCTGGCTGGGAAGGACCACCCCTGGATTCCTGGTGATCGGGGGGCGCCAGGATTGATCCGACGACCGTGGGTGACTAGTTTTGCTTAATTTTTTTGGTTGAGCCTTGCCCAAAAGGTTCCCGGTGGAGAGAAAAGGATAGAAAAACTCAAGAAGAGAGAGGGGGGAGCGCGAGAGAGAGAGAGAGAGAATGAGAGTGAGAGAGAGAGAGGGAGAGAAACTTAAAAACGACAACAAAAACAAACTGCCCTAATCTATATATAATATTAATATATAGTAATATATGATAGATAAAATACAGTATATAGGGTGGTTTCCAACGAAACTTTGGATACCACTTACAATCACTCACTACCAGCTCCTCCAGCCGCTCCGCTCCCGAACACACAATCCAGTCTATATTTGTTTGGCCCACGCGAGTCTGGGCGGCACATGCCGTGGGGAACATGGTAGAATGCACCTCAATCATGTGGAATTTTCATCAATAACACTCCCTTATAACTAAAAAATCGTATAAAGAGATCCTCCTACAATGATTGCTTGGCCAGCTATTTTTCATTTTACAAACAGTTACAGTAGTGTCTATAAAATGGAATATACAGAAAAACATCTATAACATGCAAAACGTACCTTTATGATAAATGACCATGTGTTCACATCCATTGAATCAATGAACATGGAGATGCACACAAAAATCTGATTGACTAGCTTATATATGTTTATAAAGTGAACCTGGCTTAAGGCATTTGATATATAGGGGAAAAGGCATTGCATTAAACAAGGACGCATTGATGGGCGATATAAAGAGGCTTTACTCACAATCCAAATCCAATTGGGGGGGCCGGGCTCTAATTTTGCAATTCTACATTACTGTCGGTAAGCTGGTGCTCTCAAAGGTCTTGGACTGGCATGTCTTGGACTGCAAGGTTAACCAAAACAGATTGGAGTCCGGAGACGGAATCGACTGGAACATCACCTCAGCGCTCTTTTGTTGCGTCTGATTCGGGCTGTTATGGCCTCTTGCTTCCGCATTGGTACAAGAGACCGTCGGAAAAATCACCGTGGAATGATGTTGAACGTAACGGCAACAAGTGGAGCACATGGAGCTGGCCGGCCTCAAAACCAAAGAATTTCCGATGTCATGAAGATACCACCCGGCGCTGGTGATCGTCACTCGAATGTATACTCACACCACTGCCACGAGCCAAAATTTGGTCGCTTGCTTCCGGATTTCGCCTGTTCTGCAACTGTGCGGGGGCCAAGGCTGGACCTCAAACCATTGGGAACAATCTACTCTTCTGCCCCACGCCCTTGAAGAATTGGAGGCACCAAAGAGCCGCATCACCCCGCATGGCCTCAGATCCATCGGGGTGGTGAACGTGTTGCGCTTCGGTGGTCAAAGCCACTGAAGTCGGACATTGCGGCTGTCCCCGCCATTCCTGAGCCACGCAAGAACTGGAAGTAGGGAAATAACCACAGGAAACACATAAACCCAAATGCACACGCGTACGCAAAAACAAACGTTGTTTGACATTCTTGTCTGACACTCTCCGAAGACACTCTTGAAGAGCAGTCTCGGGTGACACGTTTCTATAGGGCAGTCTCGCACAAAACTCCTCCAAGGCCTTGTGCCCCACACATGTGGGACACTTGCGTGTGACAATCTTGCTGGACGCTCTTTTGTGCGACCCGCTCGCAAGACACTCTTGTGGGACCCTCTTGCAGGACAATCTTGTACGACACTTCTCTGGGACACTATTGTAGGATATGTTTCTTATGAGACCTCCAAAAGGCGTCAAGCCTTCAAACGACGAGGCTCTCTCCCAAAGTCAAGGTTTCAAGACATTTTGTGCAAGATTTCCTCCAAAAGGGACAGGTCAAGCCTCCAAAACCTCCAAAAGTCAACGTGAGAACTCTTCGACACCGGCGTTTTGGACGAGACTTCCTCCAAAAGAGAAGTGGGCAGTCTCATCATCAGCGCACGGCCACATTATGCAGCCTGCAACGCACACTGCCTGACAACACCTCCAACACGCACAAAGTATAGCGCCTGCCACGAGTAGTATGCACCACCTCATGACTTCTCTAGCAACACTTGCACCTCCAAGTCGATCTTTTTCAACATGGGAAGGAGCAACTTACAGTATTATACAGTATTATCACAATACCCGTGTTCTTCGTATGGTGCCCCAAGCCTGCGCGAGCCTCCAAATCCCAATGGCACAGCAACATTCCATGCTTCCCCAAAACACCCCTCACAATGCCAATCCCAATGGCAGGGCGATGCAAAGTGCTGACCTCACAAACACTGCCCCTCCGCAGAAAAACTAATCCTTCACGCTTAGGCAAGTCACGTTTTTCTGCACTAGTCTGCATGCAAGCGATCCAAAGCCTCCTCCGGGGTCTTCCCGCAGCAATGTAAGGCTTTTAACTTCGCGTTCCAACGGTTGCGAACATGAAAGCAACACCACGCGAACTGTTCGACTCCACCCCCAGAGTTAAACCGGGCAACCTTTGCTATGCATTTGGCAAGGGCATCAACAAATGCTAGCAAACAGCATCTACCTGGATGTTGATACCAAGAAGTCACAACTATGTTAGCTCCAAGTTTTGAGTAACAGCATCTCAAACGAGTGGTTTTCCAGGCCCTCTTGGTTGAAGCCGGAGGCATATGCTCCCAAACACTAACCCCCTAAAGGCCTTAGGGTCTCAAAGCCCTGGCTTTGGACCTTAGAGTTCCAACCTGAGGCCTGAGGCCGTCAGTCGCCCACCCAACTAGTCCGTCGGTAGCGCCTGTGCCGTCGAAGTCCGGTGAATCACCGGAGTGGCGAAGGTTTTTGGATCCAATCCATTTGCCGGTGGTTTTTGGATCCAAATTGCTTCTCTAATCATCCAAGCTCTGGCCATGGTGTCGTTGTCGTGGTCGTGGTCGTGGTCGT